TTATGTGCCGACCGCAAAAACTAGTTGTACATTGAAAATACGTGCAAATTTTAAAACATTCTATAAACTTAAAATATCAAAATAATCAGCACGACTTTCTACTATAAATGTGTGACAAAACAATGATAAAAATACAAAAAAAATGCTTTTTCATGTTTGTGACGAAAGCCATGAATGTATTTCACCAGCTGGTGTGCTCAGGGAGTCTGAGAGAAAAATACTCGCCACACCCGATTGGTTTTACCTTTTCAGACAGTTCGATCACCTGGCCACTCATCTATTATGGTTATTTGAGTTGTATTCGAATTAACGGCCATTTAATGCATAGAAATGTTTAAAAATTGCATTCGTTAGAACTTTTGTCTTTCGTAAGTTGACCTATGACCTCTACGTGGTGCAGCAGTCACTACAAAAATAAACGGTTATTTACGACATTTTTAATGACTTTTTCGAACTTTTAACAATTGATCTCGATAATATAACAACATAGGTTACATTTCCATGTAAATTTGCCAATTTTGCAATCATTTTTCACAACTTTGTATGCAGTTTGTTAATTATTTTTTGCTTTGATAGTGTTATAATCTGCTAATATAAGTGCTTTTCCAACCATTTGGTCATTTTTTCTATATTTTTAACTGCGGGGTCGATATAAGAATGACTTAGTTCAAATACATTATCAAACCCACCAACTTTTCAAATGCTTTTGAAATCATTTTGGGTTGTTTAAGAACATGTTATGGTCGGCGCATGTGGTATTATGCCAATATACGGGACTTTCACTTGCATTTTTTACATTTCCTCCTTTATAACTTCACGGTTAGATACGGCAACAACTCGGGACAAGTATACACGCAAATCTACCAACTTTGCACTCACTTTGCACGCCATTTTAATAGCTTACATCCATTATGTGCCGACCGCAAAAACTAGTTGTAGAAATTACGTGCAAACTTTAAGACATTCTATAAACTTAAAATATCAAAATAATCAGCACGACTTTTTACTATAAATGTGACATCACAACAATAAAATACAAAAAAATGCTTTATGTGTTTTTCATGTTTGTGACGAAAGCCAAACAAGTATTTCACCAGCAGGTGTGCTCAGGTTGTCTGCCATGCAATCACTCGCCTCGCCCGATTGGTCTTAACTTTTGAGACAGTTCGATCATCTGACCACTCGTCTATTATGGTCATTTGGATTTTATTCAAATTGGCGGCCATTTAATGTTTGGAAATGTTTGAAAATTGCATTTGCTGGCACTTGTGTCATTCGTAAGTTGACCTATGACCTCTACGTGCTGCAACAGTCAGTATGGAAATAAACGGCTTTTTACGACATATTTATTGACTTTTTCGAACTTTTAACGATTGGTCTCCATAATATAACAACATAGGTTACATTTCCATGTAAATTTGACAATTTTGCAATCACTTTACACAACTTTGTAAGCAGTTTGTTATTTTTTTCCCTTTTAATAGTGTTATAATATGCTAATATAAGGGCTTTTCCAATATATTCGATATTTTTTTTATATTTTTAACTGCAGTGTCGATATAACAATGACTTAGTTAAAATATGTTATCAAATTCCTTTTCTCCTTATACAAAAAGGAACTGTTATAATTTGATTCTGTTTACTTAGAAACTAAAATTGTGATTTCATGCGGGGTTTGTTTGCCAGTCGCTAATCATAAATATTGTGTCAACATAGTGCAATCACCTGCAAATTTGAATGCAATTATTAATTATTAGAGACATCAATGTTTTATTGAGTTTTTTTTATTTTTTACGGAGTTTTAAAATTATATAATGTAGTTGGAATTATAATTTGTAGTTGGAAATCAACAATGCAATGTACGACGTGAACCAATTCCTGATGATGTATTTTGGAATCCCAAATTCAAAGATTATACGCCAATGATAATTCCAGCTACACCCGAGATTAAAGATAATACATAATCTACTTCTTCAGCTGTGAACTTAGATCTGTGTCTTGAAGTTTTCTTTGAATATACTACATAAGACAAGTTTTTAAAAACTCCTAATCAAATCTTGGCAGATAATCCGACTTGTCGTTTACCAGACTTTTCAACACTGATATTTCCACTACGGGATTCGAAGACAACAGGATAAGTCAAATTTCCAAACAAATCTAGAAACTTTGCCATCTCTTCACACAGCTATTACTTAACCTTATACAAAAAGGTTATATGCCCATCTGTTAATACTGGCTTTCACTCGACGTATGAGTAATTTTGGAAACTTTTAACTCGTGGGTCCGTCACAATAACCACTTAAATGCCATTTCCGATCAAATCTACAAACTTTTTCACAATTTTGCACGCTATTGTTTAACATTATACGTTGTGCTTATATGACGGTCTGGTAATACATATGGGACTCTCATTCTAATTGTGATTACTTTTTCTAACTTTTTAACTGCTGAGTTTGATAGAACAAGAACTTAGGTCAAATTGCCAGACAAATCAAACAATTTGCCAATCGCTTTTTACAATTTTGTTCGAGCTTTTCATAAAATTAGAATAAACATTTCTAACTACAATAAGCACTATTTTTATGAAATTACTTGCACATTTTTAAATTTATTTGAATATTAAAAGCATTTTTTTACGATTATCTACAATGAAGTTTGTCATAACAGTCACGACGAACACATATTAAAAAGAGAAAAGGTAAGTTTAATGTGTATAACAAATTTAAAAAAATATTTCACTTTGTGATTTGGTCAGACGGTATACCATTCAAATACTTGCACAGCCACAGAAGGTCAACATTTCCTAGTGGCAGATCATATGAAAAATCTGCTATCGAGGGATGCTGAAGTTTAATTTAATTGGTGGCCATTTAACGTTTCGAAATGTTTCAAAATTGATCTTGATTGCACTTGTAAATTTCGAATTTGACATATTGACCTCCAGAATATATTAGAACAATATTTTGGCAGTTTGAGGGTCGTTTACTAGGAAATGATTGAATGTTGCAATATTGGCTCAATCCCTGCATTGAATTCCTCACAAATTGCAATATTGGTTCAATCCCTCACTATTTTCATTTTTGTTTTTGACGTTATCTATCTTTTTTACCTCAGTAATGAATTTCACATATGGCGGGTTGTACCTCGTCCGGTTGTTTTGAGTTGGCTTTTATGCAAATGAAATAATTGTAATTAAATAAATGGTTGACGTGGAACGTCTTGTGACGTAGCTCCGCCCCGAGGATAGTATTTTGTCTGGTGCACAAATCATGTTTTTTTGTCAATTGCCAAAAAACAGGGTGTAGTTCATTCTATTCGTTTTAAGGGGAGTTCATTGATTATAATGTGAAAATGAACTTGAACTCCAAGTGTGTGATAATATTCACGTACCACCTCTGTGCCGTATATCAGCTATGTTAAAATAGTATCGATTCCTCATTATATATTCATAATCTATAACCTGTTGTCGCTGGTGGCGCTCTGTATAAAAGCTTTATCTTTTGACTACTTAACACTTTTGCTGGTTGTATATCAACTATAGTTAAAAAATACCACATACATTAACGGGTCAATAAGTCACGAAATATTTGCTTGATATTAATTCACATTCAATATGTGAATATATGTCATCTAATGATATCAGTATTCCACATTTCAGGCAAATTTCTGGTATATCACCATGCCGTTTATAATGATGACAAGTGAAATACAATTTTAGGATGACATTGGGCAATTCAACTCTGAATTGTCATAATTCAACAATGGTTACAAAACCTTTATAGGTATAGTGCTTTATTTTGGATAGATCTTTCAGGTGTACAACAATTTTTGTACTAACATTTTTGAAGAATATTTTCAAATCAGGAGCCCTTTCCCTCTACAGCAAGCAAAACAAGGAGGTTTTTCGAACAGTAAATTATTTTAAAATACTATCGATACCTCAATATAAATTCACATATTCTCCAACATTTTGTAACTGGTGGCGCTCTGCAAAAAAAGCTTTATCGCTCACGTGATTGTTTAAACATTTTGCTGGTTGTGTATCATCTCGACATTGAACAAAAACAACTACATAGAAACCCAGGTCAGTAAATCATTAATATGTTCTTGATTATATAGTATTCACGTTAAGAAATGTTATGTTAAAATCTTGCTTTTGATACATTCCCGTCACTATGTGTCATCCAACAATATCAACATTCCCTGACTCAGTAAGACATTTCATGGAAATTTCAGGTATTCCCACACATGCCGATAATAATGTTGGCGAGTAAAATAACTAATTTTTGGGTGAAATTTAGGAACCATTTATTATATTCCATGTTTGAGATGTTTGGCACCGATGATCAATTTTGTCATTGATTGCATGTGTAGAATACGATGTTACCATGGAAATAGACTCCTAAAAATTCTCTCGCGCGACAAAAAATTAACAATTCGACAATAGAAGCCTATTTTGCAAGTTTGAATTATTTAGGGCCAAATGACACATCATGTGTACCAAAAATAGCGAATTTGACATCATGTGGAACTGATGCCCAAAGAAGAGACTTCCAGTTCTAGATATTGTATGATATGTTTAAAACACATATATGTATATATGCGCTTGTTAACCGATATATATATATATATATATATATATATGTCATGATTACCAAGTACAGAGCATGTAAAAAAGAGAATATGCACAGAAAATTACGTCAATCTCACTCCATATCTTCCCGTGTAAATTACAGGAGAATTTATCATCACACTAACTTTCTTGCCAATATTAATTCAACACCATATTAGTACATACGTCTATCGACAATTTAGATATTGTTTGCTTATTTGTTTGTTTGTTTTCAAAATTCGAACGTTTTCTTTAATAATTGATTACATTTAGTATTACCCAGTGACGTCACAACATTTGGTCTATGTTTAACTATAATCACTGATTTGTAGGCGTTTATAGTAATCGCTGTTGCCATTGGTTACAGGTTCTCCCATTCAAATCAACAATGCAGAATACTGGAATCATGCACCCTGGTAAAAGTAACGACTATGTAACTACCAAAGAGCCATCAAGCGTTCCTAACCCACAATTCATTGCGGACAAAACTGATGCCATACAAAACCAAGATAATAAATCGTCGAAAAATAAAACCTCGTATTGGAACGCATTCGTCGGTCTTTTCATGGGACTGCTTTCTGGTGCAAGTTTCGCGGTATCTGACATATTCGCGCTACTGTGTATCAAGTTGGGCTACTCGCCAGCACAGGCTTTGCTCGTGAAGTCATTAGTAACCATGGCAGCAGCGATGCCGTTTCTCATTTACAAGAAAGTTAATATTCTAAAACTGTCTCGGAAGGATACTTTGCTGAACGTTGTTAAAAGCTTAAGTGAAAATGCAGGTGACTTCTTCTACTATTATGGCTTGGATTTCATTGGAATGGGAGACACGACGTCAATTGTAGTAGGATCGTTGCCTATCTTCACACCTATCTTAGCACGTCTATTCATACACGAGCATTTCCGGTTTCATGACTGCATTAGTATAATAATCAACATTGCCGGAATTGTACTCATCGCACGGCCTGAATTCATATTTGGCGATACCACAGACGCACCAGCAATCGGATATATTTACGCTATATTAACTGGCCTCGGCTTAGCTATCGGCACTGTGTGTGGTAGAGAAATGTCCGATGGGCAATCTTTGCTAGTAGTTATATTCTATAACGGGTTATGTGGAGCTATACTTATGTTAATTCTAGTGTACCCGACGAGTAGTTATCGTATGTATGTATTGATACCTCAATATCCCATAACGATTGCATATATGGTTGCCATGGTAGCCTGGTATATTCTTTATCTATACACATACAACAGAGCGCTACAGCTGCTGAGTGCCGGCAAAGTAGCGCTGTTGGCCAACGGCTCCATGATTGTTGGTTTTATAGCCGATGTTACTGTGTTTAATAGGGAAATTGTTTACTTGGAATTCATTGGAGCTGCACTGATTATTCTAAGTGCCGCGGTTGTTTGCGTGCTCGTTTGGTTTGAAACAAGAAAAGAATTGAATGAAAACACTAAACTTATTAAGAATTAAGAATCCAAATGTAAATAATATTAGTATTTCATTGTAGAGTATAATTATGTTTTAATGATTTGATCCTCTCTAGTAACGGGATAAAGAGCACAAAGCGCAGTGATAATAGTTTGTGTCAAAATATGTTTACAATTAATCGTTTTAGCATTTATCAATACTATGAGAATGTTTTTCGGTTCACTGTCAATCTATTGTCCATTAAGACATTATTAAACACTTATTTCCGTCGACATTTCGTTGAAAGAGTTTTTTTCTCAAAAAAGTCTTCTATACTCTACCGTCTTCGGGTTCACTGTTCCAAATACCGTGGGTTTCATTGTCAAATCTCGTGACCTTCTCGCTTTCAACGAGATATTGGCGGTCATTCACGAATAAGGTGAATATTGTGAAATAAATGTCGTCACCTTGTAACCTTATCATGGCTGGCTGTAATATACTTCTTTTGAGTAGTGTGAAGACACCAGTATAATACCATTTCAGTCAACAACCAACCAATGATCAGACATGTAGTTCACGATATAATAACTCTTTATTAATACCGGGTTAATGGAAGCATCGTCTCGCAAGACAATCATAGCATTAGACAACCTAAGTACAAGATTACTAGCCCTTAAATAGGCCATGGCTCGTAAATCATAAGAAGGTTGGCTTTCATTTGGGAAAGCCAATGAAATATTTCTAAATGGTATATTCTAACTGTCCATCGCCATACATGGCTATTTGATTTCGGGTAAACCCTGGATAATCAACTTTGACATTCTAAACTAAATAAAATGTATACGCCTACGCATCGACTTACATTTTACACTATTTAGCTGTGAAAAACATCATGACACTGACACAAATAATAGGTGGTGATCGACTACACTGGACTGCACGGCAGTTAAATTAAAATGCACCTGAAGAAATATACAAAACAGACAACATTTATCGTCTCATCTTCAAAAAAACTCAAAGCGCGGTGGTCGTCGCGCAGCGCGTGTTCGAATTTCGTGTAAATAAACAATGTATTTTACACGCGTTGTGTACGTCGCTATGAGTCCCATATCGAACAGGACACGGCACGACGACCAGCGCTCTTTAACATTGTGTGCATATTGGCACGGGCAGAACATTGAATATTTGTAACGGATAAGAGAGCAATTGGAGGAAGAGATAAAATAACAACCTCTTTGATGACAGGCTGCAACAGTGCACGTAACATATTTTACATTTATATTTCTCGCATCCAGTGCATCAGTCTGCCACAAATAATTACTACCACGACAGAAAAGGTGACTATTACAAATCACGATTTGAACTATTTTTATCTGCTTTAAATACAATCATACCAGCTATATTTGCTGGCATTTATTCACTGCAATAAAAGAATGAGTTACTAAAAAACAGAATAAAATATTTAAAACATTAAGTGCACATTGACTAGTTTTAATTTCAACTTGGTTCTAATGTGAACCGCTAAATATAATGCATATAACCAACCAAATGACTGTTTTACTGATCCATCCTAGTCAGCACCAGCCCCATCTTACACACACACATACGTACAATTGCACAGAAAAAGAAAATCTATAAAACAGCACAATTGAGTCATAACATAGTTCTAATCTAGTTATATTTATATTGCTTTCATCCAAAGCAAAGAGGGAAAAAGTATTATATAAAATTATCCATATTTCATAAACATAAATAAATTGGAATTAATTACAACTAAGGACGCAAGTTTTTTCTCAGAATTGGAGGGAAAAAACAAAGTAGTTTCCATAAACAATCATAAATTAAAGGATGATTTCAGAAAAACATGAAAAGCAGCATGGGCGTCGACATTTGAAGAAAAAAATCAAACTTCACTGCATAGACTAAATTTAGAGGTTAATTATATTTTCCTTATAATATATATGGCAAAAAATAAACACTGTGTATGGTAGGATTTTAAGTGGAGACACTTGAAATATAGGTCATTGAGAGATAAAATTTGAAATGACATAAAGGAACACGCATCATAACCAATATTACAGTGACACATTGAAAGTCGTCTAGTGTGGGATTCAAACCTATGCCCCCCAATATGCAGGATTGATAAGCTAACCGACCAGTCGACTTCACTTGCGATGGAGCTATTTGGGAAATTGTCCATGGGAGTGAACTGTACTTACAAAACTTGTATACCCTTTATTGCTACTGGGTTTAACCAACAACTTTAAATGGCAGTGTTTGATTTACTTTGGTTTTGCTGTAGACTGTCGTCAGTCATTAGGCCTAATTTGTTAGTATACTGAATCGGAAAATGCTGAAGTCGTTTCCAAGAAGACCGAAGGCCTTAGGTCTGTTCTTCTCTGCATAGTTTCCTTGATTTTAATTATGCATGTAAGCGAATGACGTCACTGGTATAATAATAGGCGGAGCGTGGCTCAGCACGTCAGTTATTTTCCACTACCTTTCGAAGCATTAAGAAAGGCGTCTTTTCCTTGTAAATATCAATTCACAACATTTTGCTGAATTCCTTATATGCCATGTTTTTCCGGCACAGAGAAAGACATGTTTTATTGTTCATTTACTATATTTATAAACAACAGAGGTCAACTTTCTATTCCCGGTGTACAGTACGCAATAACGTGTCTGTGATTGGCTGGTCGCTTTGTGACGTTGCATGAACTGTCAATCCTTCTCTGTTCAGTACCGATGGAAAACTATTTATTGTCGCGTGAAGGCGTTTACAAGCGTTAATAGTCTGCAGGCCTCCGGTCTGCGCTGAAATGCCTTCGGCATTGCTTCTGCATTTTTCGATTTAGTATACTAACAAATTGAGCATGAGGAATGTCAACAGTCGAATTTTGTTGGTATGTCATGAGGTCACGGGGTCGGGTCAAATATTAAATCAAACACCCAATATTAATTAATATTTTTACTAATTTGAGGAGGATAATTTAGATTGATGGGTAGCAATATAGTTCAATACAACTTTTTGCATATATCAAGATAAATGCACTGTCACACGCAGCGTAATATTACCGTAATTGGTATAGTACAGGTGTGATGGTTCAAATACCAAAATGGCAACAGTAACAGAAAGACTTCCCTGGCGGCGATGATAAAATACGAACACGGAGTCAACAAATGAGGTTTCAACTGGTACTGGTATTATTATACTCTGCAAACATCAAGTACAATAACGCGGTAAAACTCCACTACTCCAATAACTAGATACTTAAACTCCAATACAATTCAACGAGATCTCCGATCTGAACTCAATGCTGAACAACTCCCATATATATATATACTACCACTGTCTATAAATAGACCATTACATCAGCATACATAATGAGCCTGGAACTTACTACAAATTTCTAGAATGTTCCATTACCTTCCATTGCCTCCTACAGTGTTCTATTACCTATTCAACCAGCTTCTAAAAAAATATAGAGTATTCCACCCAGACACAGTACGGTTCTAGAACATTCTCAGTGACACGGAAGTGGTAAATTAGTCGTATGCGACATACACAATGTCAGTCTTTCACATAAAACGCCACACATAAACTACATGAAAACATAATTTATTGAGCACAACAACATTTTGCTTGGTAAGGTTTGAATCTCTGCCAGTATCATCTGCAATAGTTCAGTGCAAAATGTGGCCTTCGCCACGCCCCCAATGCATATATACGGCTAGTATGGGTTGGGGGCGACAAAGACATGCACCTCATACACCACCAGAAGGCTGGAAATAGAAATAATAGATTCTATAAACTAACAAGTATTGTACAATAACTAAAAGCCCAGGACGTGACGTAGAGCTGGTCATAGAAAAATGTAGTGTTGTGCTGCCGAAGCATCGCCAATGCATTGTTTGCTGTTTGCTGTCTTTGGTACGTTATTTATTACTGAACACAACAATTTTAGTTGGTCGAACTATTTATGTAGCCTAACACTTGAACAGGTCACAAGTCGATTATTTGTGTTTTTTCTTTGTACGGTACGGAGCCCGGAGCTGTACAACTTTGTCCGTAATGCAGCTACAACGAGAAATTGTAATAGACAATGCATTGAAGAAAATATCTCCAGTATTGTCAGCCAGAGAGGGCGCACTTAAATATACTATATAGCATCTGCCTTGGTGTAGAGGTGAGGCAGGAATGCATGAGTGAAAAGGTTGTCAAAGCCTATCAACTTCACAAAAATTGAAACACACTGTGGAGAGTAACAAGTCACAGTGTAAATGGAAAGAGAGAAAACTTGACTAGATAATGTAAACAACGAGGAGAACAATTATAAGGATTACACCAGACCAAGAAAAAGAAATACAAGATGGCGGAAACACTGATCAACTAATTGGGGATGGTTTACAGAATAATGTGGAAACAATTGAAATAATCACAGGTATATAGTCGGATCACTCGGCATTCCAACTGAGATTGAAATCTTCCCATGCTAGACGCATTCCATGTGATATTTAGTTCCAGTCCAACACTGGATGAAAGGTGTGCAAATATATGAACGAAAACATTACAAATTTGAATAATCAAGATGAAAGGTCAAATTCAAGATATGATACATTTCTCTTAAATACAATAAGGAAAAGGCCAACAATCTTAAAGAGAAATTATAAGAATGTGAAAATAAAGTAAATACATTAAATGTAAGCTGCTCGGAAGTATCAAATGAAACAATATCAAATGAACTAAAAAACAAAATGGAATTGGATAAAAAATACAAGTACATAACAGAGGAGCAAATTATAAGATCAAGGACGAACCGGTTTTTAAAAATAATGGGATTGAACAAATAAATAATTTTTTAGTTCAATGAAAATAATTGCAAATAAATCAATTAATCAATTAAAATTGATCTGAATCATATATCAATTTTGTTTTACTACTTTTGCTACTTTAATACTGCAGAAGGGAGAATGGAATGTTTCTCAGAGTAGACAACCTAACATATAAATAAATATTATGGTTTCGATGTAAAATGTAAAAGAAAATGTAACGTGTGTTTATAATATTTGATTGCATATTTATAAATATTATTTGGGTTTCGGAAAAAGTTTTGTTTCTTCACTTACACCTTCTTTAGTTTCAAAGCATGTAAACACAAATGCAATGATAGAACTGAGAATTACAAGAACAGCACCGATTATTTCTAAAATAACTACTTGTTTATGATATACAATGATATCAGCTACAAAGCTGACAAAAATACTGATGTTCCTTAGAATTGTGGTTTTACTAACACTCTGTAACTGCAAAGATCTGTTGACGGAGTACAGGTAAGCAACAAACAATGCTACCATTGCTACTAGATATGTAATCGTGATAGGATATTCATATATCAACGTATATATCCGATCACTACTTGTAGGATACACTAGAATTAACGTGATTATAGTACCACATAACCCATTATAGAATACAACAACTATCAGAGAAAGATCATCAGACATTGCTCTAGAGCAAACAGTACCAACAGACAGCCATATTCCTGCTAAAAGGGCGTACACATATCCGAGGAAAGACGAATATGTGTTACTGCCAAATATGAATTCAGGTCGTGATATTAATATGATACCAGCAATATTAATGGCAATACCAATGCAATCTCGGTTTCTAAACTTCTCTTGTATGAATATGCTGGCAAACACAGGTGAAAAAATTGGTAATGTTCCTGCTGCTATTGAGCTTGCATCTCCCATTCCAATCCCATCCATGGCGTAGTAGAAGGCTAGGTCTGCTCCGTTCTCACTAATACTTTTCACAATGTTCAAAATAGTGTCTTTCCGTTTGAGTTTCAGAATATTAATTTTCTTGTAGACAAGCAACGGGGTAGTTATTGCCATCATCATCAATGATTTGACAAGTAAAACCTGTGATGGTGAATAACCAATCTTGACACATAACAGAGCGAACACATCTGAGATAGCTAGAGTTGCACCTGACAGTAATCCCATTGTAATTCCTAGCAGTACTGTCCAGTAGTTGTATTTCCGGGGTACGCTTTCATCTTTTTGAATGACAATATTTTTGTCGGTGATAGATTGTAGTTTCAGGAAAATGTCAGACATCTTGTTATTTTGTTTCAGGTTTGGAATACACCGAATTTGTTGGTGAATGGCATCTATTTCCGAGAGCGGAGTTACATGACTTTCTACCTTGACTATACGCACATGTATCATGTATTGCTATGCGCGAGCTGCCAGCTGTAGAATGCCGATGGAAGAGCCTGTAAAAACAGATAAATTCGTGAAAACAGCTCAAACTCAACAATGAGAATCCAGGACAAGCAAATTGATATATGTCACACGTGTAGGAGTAATCTTGGCATACTGTTAAGAAGAATTTCAACAACTCGTCCAAATCAAATTTTTTGTAGTTTTTGTTGTTCGTTCGTTTGTTGACTGCTAGACGGTGAAAATATCACAATGTTCACTCCCGAGAATAGATAAATGAATTACAACTTTTACTATCATCCCATTAATCAATGAGAACTGTAAAAGTGTAGAAATAAAGTAATAAAACTGACAAAAATAGTAAATATTCGACCTAGTGGTTATGAAAGATGACGCTCCACATGAGGGATAACAAACCACATCCTAGTTCATACACATTCTCAATATGAAAAATATGAATGTTAAACAAAATATTACGGCAAATAATCAGTTCCCATGGAAACTGGTGCATATGTGTTAAAATATTCGATTTCAACACAACTTTCGAAAGATATGAATCCCAAATTGGTGTCAAATAAAAGGTTTTGAATTATACATTTGACAAAATATTAATTTATTCAAATTAGGTCATTCGATAAGTATTAATACTATTATACAGTCAAATAGTTGACTACGATACTGCTGGCAATACAATAACTCTGACTCAAGTAAATAAGCCAATACATTTCATTCATTTTTTTCTTTCACACAGAAGGTACATTAAGACAGCTAGACATCCCCAGCCTACTCTGTGTAAAGGACTCATCCATCACTGATGCTTGCCACACTTCTGGAAGCTGAGTCACTTAAGTAAAGATGAGACTCAGAATATACCATCATGAACAGGCTTTAGGTACTTATTATTTATTCGATCACAATATACTCAATACTGCTTAGCCTAGTACAACTGGCAGACGAATTGGGCCAATCACACACCCTTGTTGCAGCTGATATCTGTGTAAAAGCGAAAGTAATTTACTCTGCCAAACCACCACACTATGGCTATGGGTGTTAGAGGGATATACTTGAATATAGCTATTATTACAAGTATTGGGATTCTGTACAGTGATACTCTCCCAACTCGTTGAATTTGATGTATATGTTGTTGGCACTGATCGTAGAACTCTTCAAGAAAATCCATATGCAAGAGGTGTTCGAGCTATAATGTTAGTACCAGAAGCTCCATTTCTTAACTTCTCGTTTGGCCATGACGTCCTGGATCAGTAAACGAGGGGGACATTTTGAAGCTTTTGACCATGCCCAGAAGCTGGCATAAATGCAGCATGCCTTTGCTGTGAAAGATGCAACATCTGCCATCATATTCTCAAATGAACTGGACAATCATCTAGATATAATTGTAGAAGTGATTGTGATTTCAAAAGGGCTGATCGAAAGTCTGAAACACTTGCTTACTGGGACACCTTCTTGAATGGCGGTGATATACTACTACATATGATGAGAGCTGAGCGTGTAGAAAATTCTCAATGTTGTATGTGAAACAATTCATTGGTAATGTGAAGCTTGTAGACATGCATATTCTATATATATATCCACATATTTTGCAGATATGCAATCATAGGATCACCCTGAAAGATTGATGGTAACTTTGTTGCCAGAAGGTCAGCCAACTACATCTTCAACAGTGTTTCAACAGACCAAGGCCTGGAACAGACTGTTGATAGATATAGAAAATAGCAGTGTGGTGGGCTAAATGATGAACGCAAAGTATGTAAAATCGTGAAAACAATTTCTAAATACCAAAATCCATTCGATTATAAGACCATTACTTCACAGCTGATCAATATTGCTATAGGATAATTGGCCTCAGTAGATTTAAGAAGAAGGCTAACACTTCCTCACAACAAGACTGCTGCAAAACTCTAAAACAAAAGTTTTGGGGATCCTGAACCTCGTATAAAAACAATCACTTTTTTGCAGACATGATGACAAAAACGATTGACAAGTTCATGGTTCATTCGGAGTAGCTGTTTCATCAAATTCTTGTTGTTTCTAAACAGCCAGGCGTGAATCTGCAAACATTCCTTGAAATGAAATTGCAACAGTGCGCACTCAACTCTTCTATGATGATTTACCATGAGAAAATGTAAAAGTCCGACACGCTCGAGTCAACATGTGAATAGGTACAAAGCTTGAGAACATGGCTGGCCACAACATATATTATTGATGAAATGGCACTCTTACAGACTCTGCAGGAAACACGTTTCAGAACGTTTGGTGACTTGGGGCAACAAGAAATGCAGAGTTTGACAGGCATACTGAATGGTTACTTTGGTCTTATGGCCACAGAAATAGTTTTTGGCGGGTATGACAACGTTCAAACAATCAAGCATGCTGAAAGACAAAGACGTGGTGGAGAAACAGGAGTCACCTATGTGATCAAAGAGAGTCGAAATGTACTCAGGTACAGAAACTTCATGAAGGTTACTGGTAACAAAGCAGCACACTATTGTAGGGAAAATAGGAAATGATCTATGTCTATGTCTATCTGCAACACATGCCCTGACTGGCTGTGATAGTACAAGCCGCTTGTTCAAATTTGGAAAGCGTATAGCATATACTAAACTCGCGACCAATAATCCTGCAGCATTGACAACCTTTGGAAACTCAAATAGTTTGAATGATGAGGTTTATGCAATGTGAGCATATATTCTAACTTTGAAAGGAAAAACAAAAGTATCATGTACAAATCTGAACAGGTTGTGATATGTGCTGGCCAGATAAGCAGACAAGTCTGCTGGTCAGTTACCACTGACTGAAGACATCATGTAGACAGCATGTAATGTGAGCCAAATACCAGGCAACGATATGATGTCCGAGTCATGACGGAATACTCTGGGAACCATTTGGGTATGTTTGTGTAAACATGTGTAATTTCTATGCTAGCGAAACATAGTGGATAAGTTGTTTTACGAATGATCAGTCTAATAGAGTTATTATGGTACATACATGTACAAGTTGTTGCAGGATTATTGATATGATGTCCGAGTCATGACGGAATACTCTGGGAATCATTTGGGTATGTTTGGAAACTAGAAGATCAACAACTTATGCCAGTTATGTACACTGAAGAAATAACTCCAACAGAAGTACGATATCTAACACACCTTTACTGCACCGACAAAGACTGTAACATAAACAGTGTCAGTGCCATGCCATGAATATACAGCACCAGTCGCGATGTTGAGTCAGACAGTGACAGTATTGATTAATTAAAACTAACAATTGATTGTTTAATTGTGAATATTGGGTTTCAACTTGTTTCTAATCACGTTGTATTGTACGAGCTGTATTCTGTTTCAAAGGAACAGTTATGACAAACTAAATTATGAGAAACAAAAAATCTGAATATATGGTCGATTAAAATATATAACATATGTACAAGTATTTGTTCAATTTGTTAAAATCGGAGACACAAAACACATATTCTGTATTTTTTCATGAATAGTTTTTGTTTTAAATACAACATACTTGTTATATTTTACAATGATTGTTTTATTTTATCTGAAATAGTGTTTAATTGAGTCGAAAAAATCATAAATTATAAATCCAGAAAAAACATAATTAATGATAATCATTATGCAAAGTTATGCTAATTGTCATACATTTTCTTATCGATGAATACGATTATTACTGCAATTTAGTTTGACACTAATTTTACATTTCCATCCTAAGAATCAATGCAGTTTTATGATAAAATTAACCTTACAACAGTGCAGCTCAATGTTGTATTGGTTGTCTTTGAAACAGGCCATTTAATGTTAGTGACCCAACTATTTCCTCTACGTGCAAATTTTTTTGAAAGTTGAGATGTTTGAGGCCAATAAAATATAGGATGTGGTTTCATGTGGGTGTTGCTCTCATTTTTGGGCTCATAATGGGAATGATCACTGGTATAACCACACTGCACGAAGTCTTGTCTCACATGCTCATTTGCTAATTGCAAATGAGTCTTTCATTAATTCTCTCATCAAATAAAATAAAATTAATAAAAGTAGACGATTTTTCACTTTGTATATGTGTAACTGTGTGCGAATTCCATTTAGAATATATTAATGCGTTTTCTTTCGTTTAAATTTAAATTATGTTGCTATCAAATACATGTGAGATCATTGTTGTACATTGTTAAATTAACACATATCTTATCTAAGCCGCACTTCATGGCACTCTATAAATAACTATAAATAAGGCATCTTCATAATTGTCTTGCATTGATATTTAACATGTTCATTTGGTGAAAGTATTATTTTGGCATATATATAAAAGTTAAGCCATTAAGCCAATGCCACACAAGTACCAAGTACAGTGACTGTGATACATCTCCCTTTGATAGCAAATACATGAAAAAAAGTAAGAAAAAGCGGTGCATATTCAGCTTTAGTTACTGAAAATAAACCAGCATTTTAAGTTGCTTACATATATGTCATTTTTCTGACTACGTGAAAAACAGATATAACATTATAATGTAACACGGTGGAAACTCGACATCGATCCATAACCATATCCATATTATATCTTACAAGACAGACAAGATTATAGTCTATCACTAAACGTGGCATATGTGTAAACCATCATATATTCACTAGTTTTGGCAAAATATATATTTCTGAGACGTATATATAAGTCTGCTTTGGACGTTGGAATATTTTACAGATATAGTCGTATGTAATTGCGTTTTTTTATATACACAGCCTAATATTAGTTCGCCAATGCTGGAATTCTAATGAAACACTTTTCCAAATTTAACTTTATCGGCATTTATGCGAATACACAAATTAATCATCACATGCTGATTAATATGTTTTGCCTTTAAACGTTAATGTTTTCTTTGGGCTAAAAACAGAAGAAAAAAACAGAATACTAAATATAGGTTTTCATGTTTTTTCATGCACGAAATATAAACAGACGGAAGATTGAATTGTTTTCCCATCAATCAAATTAATCCCGCGTTATGTCATGTGACCACTAGTGAGCTCACATACATTTACTGTTCCATGAACAGCCTCAAAACCACAATTCAACAGCATTTTTCATTTGTTATATTTATGCCTGGTGTTGCATTTGTATAGTTCAACATATAAACATTGTGATGTGTTTATTTGTATGGAATATGACTACTGGCGGATCAACCAGGTAATTGGGCCCACCACCTATGGAGGAGGCAGGGCACAAGGGCAGCCATGGTCGTAATAAAAACACACATTCCTCGAGGTCAGCGCTGAGGTGGGTATGTATTAGAATTGCCACAGCTATCCAAGTAACGAACAAAGGAAACATAATTAAACTCAATGCTCACTATCACGTACGATTTTTTATGTCACTTTTTTATGTTAACTTTATGTCAAAAAACAATTGAATTTACTGCAACACGCCATTGGAATTCCCTTCCTAGCACAATTAAAAATGAAATAAACAGACAAAGTCAGTGAAACGACGAAATGTCTACTATAATTTCATTTCATATGTTTTTATTTATATATATATAAACACATATATATTTGTAAGTTTATTGTTACTCTTCTGACTTTGTATGATTGAGTAATTGACAAAAATGCTTCAATCAGTATATTTTCTTTTATCTCTTTTGTTAATTTAATACGTTGAATCTATTCAATTATTTAAATGTACAACTACCTGTATATAACTTAGTAATATTATTATTTACTGTTTATTTTGTTCATTCTTTACAAAGGTTCATGGACTAGACTAGTTCTAGGGAACTATTTTCGTGATCCTCACTATAAACAATTTATATAAATATCTAAAAATATATATTTATTTAAAATTCAAATTATACACTTATTTACTTAATTTTATTTACTCATTTGTTTATATATCACATTTATTTGTATATTATTATATGTATATATGGTTATAGTGAAATAAACTTCATCCATTCATTCATTTGTTTTCAAATGTTTAATAATACACCATTTAACATTGACCTCTACTCATTACTTATCAGGTATGCTCACAATTACATTCACTACGATTATTGCAAAACACTGAACCTTTCTAATAGCCTTTTTTTCAGAAAAACCTATAAGTAAACCAATGGCTTTGTTGTTAGATGCTCTACATTTTGTAGTTGATATTGTAGGTTCGACCCCTTCCGATGGCAAACTTCTTCTATAATCGAAAGTCTATCTCCTCGTCAACTTCAGACGTTGCACCTCGACTGACGCTGTTCAGCACTAGTCAAAGAGCAAGATTTTATTTACCATAACGGCTAACAAAATATGCTACAGTTACCCAAGTAAGACAATGCTGATTTCCAAAATATGCTAAAGTTTTCTGTTGCAATTACACCCCGCATATGACTACAAGTGACCATTTGACCAATCACAGTATACACAATTAGACATCAAATTGTCGAGTGTGACGAAACATTAAAAGATACAATCTCAGAGTCAACAAACTAACATATACACATATACCATAGTCTAAGTGTAAAATCGAAGAAAATGTTGTAATGGTGATTACATACGTTTTAAATATGCAGTTTCAGGTGTTTTTATTTTTATTTGGGTTGCCGGACAAGTTTTGTTTCTTCGTCTATTTTGTCTTTGGTTTCAAAGCACGTAAATACAAATACAATAATAGAACTAAGAATTACAAGAGTAGCTCCGATTATTTCTAAATTAACCACCTGTTTATCAAATACAATTATATCAGCTATAAAGCTGACAACAATAGCGATGTTTACTAGGATTGTGGTTTTACCAGCACTCTGCAACTGTAGGGATCTGTTAAAAGAGTGTAAGTAAGCACCAAACGATGCTACCATTCCTACTAGATAAGCAATCGTGATAGTGTATTCAGGTATCAATGTATATATCCGATCATTACTTGTAGGGTACACTAATATCAACATAATTATAACACCACATAACCCATTATAGAAAATTACAACTATTAGAGAAAGATCATCAGACATTGCTCTGGAACAAACTGTGCCAATAGACAGCCATATTCCTGCTAAAAGGGCGTACACATACCCGAGGAAAGGCGAATATGTGTTACTGCCAAATATGAATTCAGGTCTCGATATTAATATGATACCAGCAACATTTATGACAACACCAATGCAGTCGCGGGGTTTACACTTCTCTTGTATGAATATGCAGGCAAACACAGGTGAAAAAAGTGGTAATGTTCCTGCTGCTATTGAGGTTGAATCTCCCATTCCAATCCCATTCATTGCGTAGTAGAAGGCTAGGTCTGCTCCATTCTCACTAATACTTTTCACAATGCTCAAAATAGTGTCTTTCCGTTTGAGTTTCAGAATATTAATTTTCTTGTAGACGAGCAACGGGATAGTTATTGCCATCATCATCAATGATTTGACAAGTAAAACCTGTGATGGTGAATAACCAATCTTGACACATAAAAGAGCGAATATATCAGAGATAGCTAGACTTGCACCTGACAGTAATCCCATCGTTATTCCTAGCAAAGTTGTCCTGTAGTTGCTTTTCCGGTGCAGTGGTATGCTTTCTTCATTTTCCTTCACATCATTTCTTTCAGTGGTAACTAGTAGTTTTGAGAACAATTCAAACATCTTGTTTTCTAGGTTGAGGTCTGTAATGCACAGTATGTTAGTGAATGGCATTTATAGGTACATGAATTACAACTATCACGTTCTTGTACGCACATGTATATTCAATATAATGCATGCATTAATTATAAGCTATAAATATTCATCACCTGGTAACTACAACCAGAGAATAATACAACAGTCGAAAACTCTCAAGAAACTGTATCTAAGGCTTTTGTTGAGACTTACCAGAACAGATTACCCTTATGACATGGGTAAATGTGGTTGTTTAGGATTGTCTCACACTTATTTCACAACGTTAACCATTTTTGCTGACTCTTGGACGTTCTGAAGATTATATTTCTTTTCACTAGTGTAAGGAAAATCAAACATATTTGTTTTCTATTATCTTTTTTTTACTTCTTAGAATCTATTATCGTTTATAATGTAGAATTGGGTGGTACATAAAGTAAAAAGAACACATCGTTTCTTGAGTTTCGCCCTCTTACGACATGGGTGGGTGGTGTTCAAGTAACCCAAGATCAAATAAGATACCAGCATAAGTTATCACTGTACAGTCATTGAGATTAAACCTTTTAAAAAAACGGATGTGTGAAAATTACTAGTTTTCCCTTTCCTATTGTAGTTGTGTTGTCTATTCCAATCCTATTCATGACATGATCTGCTCCATTGTAACTAACACCGATAGCAACATTCAAAATTCAACATTCTGTGCGAGTTTAAGAAAATTATTTGTAGATAAGCATTGCGATAGTTATTGCCACCATCATCAATGATTTGACAAGTAAAACCTGTGATGGTAAACAACCAATCTTGATGAACAACAAAGAAAAGCAGTGATAATAGACCCATTGCATTTCCCACGAATGGTGTTTAGTAATATGAGGTTATCGAGAGGATACTGCAAAATATGCACGAAGACAGTACAGCGGGAGTATCGATCGACGCTGTCTGAGTGCATACTTTGCACCATCCTCGTAATAACCTTTTTATTATTATATAGTTTTCCCTCCAAGGAATACATCATGGAAATGCCGAAATCCAAAAAGTTTAGAACAGAGTCAGCGAACATCTTTGTGTGGAGTCCGGTCAAACCCTGGTGGCAGCCATGTTTGTTTTTATTATTAGAGGACGCTTACGCGCGTAATCATTCCATATTTGGAGTTCGCATTCCCTTATATGATAGGATGAAAATGCCCCGTAAAATACCGCAAAATTAAGGCACGCTGTAACTTATGGCGTTACGGTGACAGATGTATGATAATATTGTTTATTGTTCACTATCATCACTCGAAATGTTATTTTCTTGTCGGTAGCAAGAGACAAACATATTATTTTCGCTGGTAAATAAAGTAGAAGAAACATCGTTCCGTAAGTTACGCCCTTTATCTTCAAAGCGTCCCTGTGACATATAAAGATGTAAGTGTCGCAATTCACAGCGACGGTGACTGTACACGTCACAAGTTGTCGTTGTGTGGAATATTGCTTACGTCAAAGACGTCACACAAAAGCTTCGTCGCTAGGGGGCGTGACTTATATAAACAATTGTCAGTCTCTGCTAAACTACATACTTGTGTGTTCGGTTTGCGTTTTGTGGAAGCAAATATGTTCAATCATATATACAATATTTTAGGCATACATTTGCTCATTATATCTGACAATGTTATAAATACAAAACACAGCTTTTAACAAAAGAAATGGTTTAGGGAACAGGTTTAATTGGTTAACATAGTCCTTATGTATAGCAGTAATTTGTGTTCCTAAGATCTGATAAAGTTTGTTGGCTGCAAAGGACAAGGTGACGTCACTGTTATGAATCACTTCTGAATCACTTCGCCGACTTACTATGTTCTATTAACGATAGCAATAACTACAACTTTGTCATGTTTGGAATATCCATATTGAATTTGAAAAGTGGTATTCAAAGAATAACTTTAGGTAAATCAACAGAAGCTAATGGTATACTTGCGGACAATTTGATATATTCTGATACTAAAGTATTATCCATTATGTCTTGTGGTCATTATTGTTCACTATGAGTCACGCAAATGTCAGACACCATAATGGTTCTTAATGTAAATACATCCGGCGATTGGATATTATTAAATATAGTTTTATTACTATTGCTACCAGTATTTCTAAATTATATAAAATTATGATTTTGTCTAGATGTGATATGTATTTGACTATTGACCATCAATTTTGGTTTAAAATAGGCCACTCAACCGATGCGTTTATTTTTTATTTTAAAATAGTTTATTATTTTTTTTTATGAATGTTATAACAGCTTTTGATAGGGTTAATCCTTGTACGGTTTTTCCAAAGGCTGTTGATAGGAATATGCTTATTTTTATTGTTAGAATGCTAATCTTTTTATATCGAAATCAATTATTTTCTGAGCGATTGGGATCCACTACGTCTGCACCTTGTGAATTTGAGTGACGTCAGACAAGGTGGCAACTGTATATGGTTGGAGCATAGAAGGTACTCATGTTAGGACCTTCCATGGGTGGAGTGAGCAATCACTTAGTAAATAGACAAGTTGGTTGTAATTTGGGTGGTTAGTGAATGAACCATCGATTTTATGCGGACAACATCGTGGTGATCTGTCCTTCTGTTAAAGGATTGTCTGGTTGATGAATGTAGCATGTATGCATGTAGTGTTATTTTTAATCCTGTTTCTATTTTTCTACTTCCATCACAATGTAGAAAAGTATTCAGCGTATTTCTAAAGTACACTGTTTTTATGCTAGGGCGCAGCCTTATTCATGGATTTGCCGACTGCTCATCTATCGAACCAAAGATTTTTCAGGGTTGTATATTGTCCACCCTGATCTAATTATTGTATAGCAGGGTGTAAAGAGGGTCGGCATGGAGTATTTTCATAAGCTGTAATCAATCGCATTTATTATCGTAATTTAATGCAATTTAAATAAATAAAAAACGTAAATTCGTAGACATGGGCAAGGTATAAAATGTAATCAGTTATTTTATTCGTCCGTAATTTGTACAAATTGATAATGATATTTATGTTTATGACGACGAAACTGATGAAATTAAGCAAATTAAGAACACATAGAGGTATGGCCAAGGCCAGTATATGTACCCAAATAATGTTACTAATAATTGTATTCACTCATCTACTTTGTCATGTATTGTGTAGAATGTGAACAGTCTGAAAACTAAATGGACCAATCCTGACTTTCTGTTATTCTTATCTAAATATGGGGCTATGACATTATTTTTCTAACTGAAACATGGAGCGCACCTGAAAGCAAATTTGAAATTAATGGTTATGAAAGCTATCACAATTCACGTATAAAGCGCATGCGCTATGGTCGTACTTCTGGTGGCATTAGTATCTTATATAAAACAGGGTATTTTAATGAGGTGAAATTGTTAAACAGTGAAGCGACTGATAGTATTGTCTGGTTTCTTTGCAGCACTGGTGATTCGAAATATTGTTTTGGCATTGTTTATTTTTCACCCCAGTATTCTAGCAGTTATTCTAATGAAATAAATTTTCAAATTTTGGAAGATAAATTGGCAAATAATATATCTAAATATCCGGAATATAAATTGTTTTGTTGTGGCGACTTTAACGGCAGAACGGCAACGAAACCAGGCTTTACTGAACAAGATAACAGGGATTTTTTCGCTGATCAAGTAAATATGCCAGAACCAGAGTTACCAAAAAGGTCTTCCCAGGATCGTGCAATTAATCCATTTGGCCATTTATTACTAGATTTATGTAAAAACTCTAATTTAAAAATTCTTAATGGCCGATTATTTGAAGATAAA